GCAATTTTACCCAAGATGCGCAAGCGCACGCGTCAACCAATGTAGGGTTTTCAACTAGCCCCAAATTATCGTCCTCAAGGAACAAATGTAAAAGTTGTGTTTAAAAGAAAATAATGAAAATTAAACAGGACGAGGAGCATTAACAACATATGTTCTTAGTTGGAATACTCCAAAGAGCATTTTCTACTAGCTAGTTATACAGAGTTAACCAATCTAAGTGGCTAAATGTTGGGAGTGATTCTTAACCTTCATTGAACAATATTAACACCAAAAACTCATTGAACAATAAAAATCATCAAGACGAGAACATTGGTGCAAAGGTCTATGTAACTAGAAATCACTCAGAGCAATTATATTTCTCTTTGAATTTTAGTTTTTAGAATATTAATAACTTTAAAAAAGGTACGCAGAAGGTGAGAAAGTAGGTTTCCGGGTTCAGTATTTTCACCCCTTTGGTTGAACCTGTAATGTTGCACATTTTTCGAACTGAATGCTCCTGTTTCCATTACGGTTCATTCAATGTAACCTGGAGCAAAGGCTTTTTGTTCCAAATCACTCTTGAAGTTTATTGAATCTAATTTCAAGGAGATCATGTCTGCCTTCTCAGAAGAGCATGGCTGAAGGGATCACTAGCAAAAGTGATTTACACATGATAGTGCTCTCCCTTATGGATATTCCTTTGACTTAGAGCAAAATATCCTAAGACTTCCAATTTCGCTTCACACTACTTTGTGAGGGTTTCATCGACCTAGTGGACTTGGGATGACTTTGCAAACCAAAGGGCATTGCGAAATCAAAACATTAAAACAAGGAACAACTCATAATTCATTAAGAAAAAGATGGTTTCATTACAAATTCATCCTAAGACAAAGAGAGTTACTTCTACCTCACCCTTAACCTACTTAAGAGAATTAGCTCATAGAGAGCACACTGCAACCACAAAGGAAAATGCAAGGAAAAGCTTTTTGAAAATTCTAAAACGTCAGGTTGAAGAAGATCCCCGGTTCAGATCTCCTTTCCTTTTATTTGAGACGTTTTGCTTTTAATCTCAGCCGCTCCATAGATCTATGGCTCATCTTTCCTCAAATCCTCTCCAATCATAGCGCTGCTCCTTGCCAACTCAACCCTATTACAGTTGTGGTCCTTTCATTCCTTTTGCATGAATTTGCACAGTGAGGACACACTCCCATATTCTCTGCTGAAGCTGACGTGGAGGCTCTCGATTGGGTGCTTTTTCTGTGCCTGTATTGTAGTGTGCTTTCCAGTCCTTCTTTGGTGCTGTTTTTAATCTTTTCTTCCAAGTTTATCCTTCAATTTAGTGGGCTCTTTTTTGCCGGGCTTCAAGGTTCTTGCAAAGGAAATTCGATCCATTAAAAGCATAAAGGGAAGAATTATATCAAATTGCTCCAGTACTGCCTTAATTCACATATTAAGTATTGCTCTAACCCACAATAACAAGTATATGCTCCTTATAGAGAAGATGGAAGAAAAAGGGTAACTTGCGCATGCAGATTTAAGGAGCAACAAGACCATTAATGGACCTCAACTTTTGAGGACCATCAGTGTGCATAGTGACAACATAATAGTAAGAGAGCAAGTGTATCATACTTGTAGGCATTACCTCTTATTTATAAAGTTTACCTGTGGGTCTTGGATTCTAAACCTTTTGTGCCTTTCCTAACAACCCAAACTCATGTATTACGCTATCATATTAGGATTGATATCCTTGGTGGATATCCTCCCTTAATTGCATCAGATTTATATTTGGATTGCCCCTTATTGGGCTTAGTAATAAATGACCTCATATATGGGTCCATAACAATTTGCATTTTGTGTTATCTCAGGCTCTTAGTTACTAATCTTGACTGGAAGGCCTAGAATACTATTTGGAGGGGATCTGGATCATCTTATGTGAAAAAAATGACATGATCCTGTGGAAAATCATAAACATATAAAGGTGGATAAATGGTAATAAAGGAAGAGGGAGAAACATATTAAAATAGATAGTTATAAAATCATAACATTGATTCACATTTGTATGATTGTGATATTTTCACATTACCGTATCATATTTTTTTCGATATATGAAAGGATCCATTTCGATTTAGAGGTGGAATGGATCAATCATATAAAGCATTTATTGTGGCTATTAATGTGGGACAACATACTCACCAATGAGAGTAGGAACTCGTGTCATATCTCTGACTCCTCTAACTGTCCCCAATGGCAGTGTAATCCAGAGAGTAGCCTACTTGTAGTCAGGGATTGTATGTGGATGCAAAATGTTTGGAGGACCTTGGTGCACCCAACAATAATGGATATGTTCGTTTTCATTTTCACATAAGGATGGGCTATGCATGAACTTGAACGGTAGCCGGAACATTATGAATGGTTATTTTGGGACTTACTATTTGCATTATATGTTGGCTTTGTTGGAAAGAAAGAAATAACTCGGTCTTTAATGCAAGAATAACAAGCGCTTAATCCATCTAGTCAAAAGGTACATACATAATAACCCTCAAGGTAGTTCAGTTGGCAGCTGAGCTTCCAATGATTTATTTGGATCAAGGGTTCAAATCCTGTCTCAAGCAAATTTTTAGAAAATCTTTGTGGGTCAGCCTCTGTCTTCGAAGGAGAAATTAATCTCATCCTTCCTCCGGTAGCGAAGCTCAATGCACCTGCTGTTTCAATGAGGGGTAATTTTCGGACCGTACTCAGATGGCAAGGTGACCGAAGTAGGTTGAATTGGGATAACCTGCAATTTATACAAAAAAAAGGTACATACATAATATTTTGGTGGCAAATGATTTGCTGATATCTTTGGATCTATGCATTACCATCACGGGTGGACCTACACGGGGGGCTAGGATAGGCCCCCGCCCCCTCTTAAATATGAAAATATGTTCTACTATATGATCTGCAACATGGTATGAAAAACAAAATTTTGAAAGTGCTCTTAAAAAGTGAAAGACAAGTGATGTTATTCATAAGAAAAGTGGTCCACCCGTTCATTGCACCCAATTAGAGATAACTATTATTTACCAGATTCAACTTGCCAACATATATAGCAGGTTTTGTTCTTGGTCTGTTACCCTCTCCAGTCAATGTGGAAAGCTAGTTTTTTTATTTTATACAAAAAAGAGTTCAGTTAGTAATGCATATCACTCTACTTGTCATATTTGTCTAGAATTTGATTTTATATTGATTGATTATCTAATTTTCTTTTTATAATCATTAATTTTTTTTACAGATTGTCATATCAGAACTCAGGAGAAGAGTTTTTAAGTTTTGACATTGATGCCAAAGAAAAAAGGTCAATAATAGTTATTAATTATTAGTTGGGACCAAATGCTAAAAATAAATAACACATTAATTAATTTAATGCTTCTGCTAAATAATAGTTAAGTGAAAAAATAAGATTCTAAATAAATTAAAGAAAGTGCAATTATAACACCAGAAGGCATAAAGGTAAATAATAAAAAAATGATCTTACAAACAAAATAGGGTTTTAAGGCTAATTCTTCATTGAAATAGAGGGTGCATTGGACCACTGTGATGGGAAGTAAAAAATTGACATTCCAACCAAAAAATGACAATTTTTTTTGTAATTTTGTTAGATTTTTCTTAACAGGTATTTTTGTATTCTTAACGTGATCATTCAATCAAAATTGACATTGTCTTTTCATAATAATAATTCAAAATTTTGCCTTCTATCATATAATTTTCTAGGTGCGCCACTTATTAGCATGTATGTAGAGAAATTCATCCAATGGCATTTTCCACATGAAGGATGGATTAAATTGAACGTGGACTAATATAGAGTATTTTTGCAGGCCAACATTCGAGTTGTGGAGGTGTGTTGCGGGATGTTGCTGGAACTTGATTGTTGAGGTTTTCTAGATAATTGAGAAGCGGAAATGCTCCAGGTGCTGAACTACTCATTGGCTTGGGAATAGCCTGGAATTATGGTTGTCATGGATTAATCTTAGAAGGGATTCTCTTTGAGTATTGTAATTTACTAGTTGGAATCTTCTAGAATTATTTTCTTGAAGAGGTAGGATCATTTAATACTGGTGTCAAATTTAAAATTTGACACCTCATCTGAGAGTCGTTAGATCAAAAAATAAGAAATTACGTTTGCCTAAACGAAATTTAAGGAAAGTAGGAAAAAACAAAAACGAATAAGCAAAAGTTGTTTATAAAAAAAAAAGGGAGGGAAAGAAAAGAAAACGAGATTAATTTTGCACTTTGCCGTGGGTCACTTCGAAACCCATGCCGCAATGGTGTTGGCGTTGAGTGCGGCATGGGTTGGAAAAGCATCATCAAGATTCAAGATAAATAAATAAATAAAATTAAATAATTGATTAAATAATTATTCATGTGGTTTTAGTTTAATTGGCGATGTTAAATATGAAATTATTTTAAAAATTTGGTAAAATAATTTTAGTTAGTTAAAATTAAAATTAATTCATTGAATAAAAATAAATCAAAATCTAATAACAAATATTCAATGTATATTATTGATCTTATTTATATCTAATCATTTTAATTTATTAATTTCATATTCCCATTAAAAATAAATAAATAAATCAAAAGATAAGAATAATTGTGATAATTCTTATTTTAATAGCGGTGTAAATTAATCGTACCTCATATAAAATATTTGCTATCCATCCTTCATAAATTTTAATTCTTCACACTAACAAATATGTAAAGTTATATATTTTTAATGAAATCTTATAAAAATTTTAAAATTATAAAGTTTTCATTTCAAATATCATAAAGACATAAATTGACTAACAAAATTTTATACAATGCATATAATTTTATTAGTTTAAAAAAAATAATTCCATACTTTTTTAAATTTAGGATAGCACTGGAGTGGACCCAAATAATTAATTTATTATTTTTTGAAAATTTTAAAAATTTAACAGAGCAAGTTTGTTTTTTTTTTTGAGTTCTCATGTTTCATGTATGCTGCTGGTTCATCCATTTTATTTGAACCAAACAAATCGCTGAGCTATTTTTATTTTCCTCGTTCATCTTCTTCCTTTCGCCGATTCAGGAACTCCAAAAACCCTAGATCGAACGCTGCCACCACCGTTTAGCGATTTTCGGTGGTGGAATTTTCCGTTCTCTGTTGCTGAAATTCGAATACCTGGGATTCGAATCGCTCTGATTTCGATTGCAGTTTCTAGGATTTTCTTGTTTCCAATTTGGGTCGGAAATGGGAAACAGAAAGGAAGAAGAGAAGAACGAGAAAATTATAAGGGGTCTCATGAAACTTCCGCCAAATCGAAGATGTATAAACTGTAACAGTGTGGTAAATTGAACTCCATTTTTGAATTTGAATATTTTTTTCTTATGTTTGGTTTAATCAAAGTGTGTTTTGCTTTCATTACCTTTATGTTTTTGGTTTGTTTGATTATTCCGAAGCTAATAGTCTTAAGCCTATGGCGCTGAAGTGGGTTTAGTTGCTGAGAACTGAGAAGAGTTGGTAATATATTAGGAATTTGACATCGAAATTTCTAATATTTAAGTGCTACTTTCCTTTTTATGGATTCCCAAAATTACAACGATTTAGACAAAATTGGCCTAATAATTATTTATCATTTGCCAAAGGTGATTATAAAAAATGAATTTGAGTTTATCATGTGATTTTCTTTTTCTCGGCATCCTATGCAAGGTTGTATAGTTTATTGATGTTATTTTATAGGAATTCTAGAGTATTTGTGAAAATAAGAACTTATGAAAGTTTTGTCTGTCTTTTTAGATGATTTCCCGTTAATTGGAATGCCATTATTTGTACAGGGACCTCAATATGTATGTACAAGTTTTTGGACCTTCATTTGCATTACATGCAGCGGAATACAGTGAGTTTCTTTTCATTTTGTTTATCTGTTCTGGAGTAGTTGATAATAATTTGAGAAAATCTTTAATTCCTAATTGGAATTCTTTTAAATTTCTGTTGGACATGTGGACAATATTTGGTATGAGATAAAATTTGTAGAAAAAGAGCAAGCCTTCGAATAATTATTGCTCTTTAAAGGAAATATTAGATTATGTTTAATAAATAAATTTCATATTCACATAAAGATATTATCTGAATTCAAGTTATTGTCAAAATTTTAAGCTTTGCTTGTGTTTCTTGAATAACTATGCTCTATCTTCTTCCCTTTTGTTGTGATGTTGTATACTTTTTGCACAATGATATGTTCTTGTTATAGTGGTTTAGTGGTAATTGATCATCCTTTTCTATGATATAATTCCTGTTTACTAGTTATATTCTGTGATAGTGTATGTTTTTTAAAATCACCTGTTTACTTTCATGTCATGCAGTCGTGAGTTTACTCATCGTGTGAAGTCTGTGTCAATGTCAAAGTTCACTTCAGAAGAAGTTGATGCTCTTCAAAATGGTGGTAATCAGGTACAAGGGTGAATTTTTTCATTTGTAGCTGCCTTTATTTCCTTGTTGAAATGAGATTTATCTGTGGCTCTTTTTTTAAGCGTGCAAGGGAACTATATTTGAAAAATTGGGACTTCCAAAGGCAGCGGTTGCCAGATAGCAGGTGCAATTATGTAGTTTACTGTTACAGCTATTAAATTAACATGATGTTTACATATATAAATATGTATAACTCGTTATGTGACATTATCATGTTATGCTTTTGCAGCAAAGTTGATAAAATAAGGGAGTTTATAAGGAATGTATATGTGGATAGAAAATATGCTGGTGCAAAGTCTTCCGAAAAGCCTCCAAGAGATGCACAGGCAATATATTCTGAGATATTGATTTGTTTCTCACTTTCTCTAAACGATTAATTTTTTCTTAAGCTTGTTATGGCTTAGTCTTGTACTTGCTGGCCTTTTCTGCCTGAAAATGTATTGGATTTCTGGTTAGTTTTTATGGTGTATGATATTTATGTGTGCTTCCTTTGTTCTAAATATAATATTTTAATCGAATTCAATTCAAAATTGCATGAATAAATGAAGAAAAGAAATAAATGAACAAGGTGATCGGACTGATCTTATATCCAGTGTTGTGCATATAGTTGTTTAATGGAACTTTGATTTTAGTGAAGTTAAATGACACCTTAGCAATCACTAAGAAAATCAGCTTGACATAATTAATTGCACCAGTATCCTCATAATACAAGTTAATCTGACCCGAGTTAAATACATTTTATATTTGCAATTGACTGTAGAGCCCTAGAATTCATGAAGAAGAGATAAGGCGAGCCAGTTCTTATCATTCATATTCTCAAAGTCCCCCATATGATAACCAATATGAGGATCGACGGTATGGAAAACAAGCAGCTGCACTTACCAGGAAGCCTGGTTCAGATAAAGTTCGCTATGAAGGGAAGATGTCTAGTATTATCTGTAGTCCTGGTCGCTTCAGCGATCATTCATATGATGAACGATTTGCAAATGAGGGATCTGAGCAATTTAAATCCAATGTTCAGTCTCCTAAGCTTCAGAAGGACATTGGGTTTAGCAGTCCATCCTATCAGCGTTCTGGTTCCAGTTCAAGTGAAGATGTATGGTCTCAAGCAAGAAATACATCTCAGGAAACTAATGGCAATGCCAAGAAAGATGCAGATGGAATTCATCCTCCACAGGTATGCTTCTTGCTCTTTCTTCTATGATATATAAATGCGTGCTTGCTTGAAAATATTAATTTTTTCACTAGCTAGGTTATGTAAATATTATGGGAGTGTTTCAGAATATGATCTATTCATATCTTGACTCTTCTTTTCTGATACTCTTAACTCTTTTTTTTTTTTTTTTTTGGAAATATCTGATACTCTAACTCTAAATAAGATAATATAAGGACTGAATACTGCAGAACTTTGAGAGTCTACAATTTCCGTGCCCAGGCCTTTCGAGAGGCACCTGGTCCCTCCTAACTGCCAATTTCTAACCAATCAATAGCCTCCTCATGACTTTCCCCTTCTTCGCTATTTATCAGAGATTCCTTATAAATGAAAGATCAATCACCCTTAAGTATATAGCCAATCACCTATAATGAAATACCATAACTACAGAATCAATCACCTGTAATTGTAGAATCAATTATTAACAAATCTACCCCATAATTACATAATCTATCACCCATAAACCCATTAAATACTGAATCAATCACCCACAATAACTGATACTAACAAGTAATATCAAAATACTCATAATAATTGATACCCATAATTAATTGGATCAATTATGATCAATTACCATAATATTAGGATTAATCGTCTATAATGATTAATGCCGATTTACCCATAATTAATTGGATCGTCTGTGGCCCTTTCTAGGGTAAACTTTAATAATTGGGGGTCTAACACATGTATACTTGGCCTACTTCTTGTTAATGTCAATGCTATTTAGGGAGGGTTTATTAAAAAGTTTAGGTGCAGTCTTCTTTATACTCTCACTATACTCTCACTTCTATGATCCCAAACATTTAAATTTTAACTTTCTAAAATGACTAAGAATTGGCTTAGTTTGAGGAATTTATTTTGTTCATACTTTCTTGATGAATATACATTCACTTTGAATGATTGTGTTTATTATATTATATTCCAACTCCAAGTGCTTGTGGCCTTATTTCTGTTGTAAGCTGATTATGCATTTCTTTAGTTCTTTAGATGACATTTATTTGCACTCTTTCCCCAGAAAACATCATTGCATTCTACAGACAGCAACTTTTCATCCTTAAGATCCTACAGTTCTGGTGGTTTAGTTGATTTTTTCTCAGAACCTGTCCAAGCTTCAGGATCCCTTCAGAATAAAGCGTTAGGCATTCCACGACCATCTGGTCCTACAAGATCCGTTAGCATGGACCTTTCCAAGCCACCAATGGCATCAGCTTCACCTATTGATCTTTTTCATTTACCAGCAGCACCATCTCAATCTCCGTCGGTGGATCTGTTTCAATCATCTGTTTTATCTGCAACTCCATCTTTTAGTGAGAATCAACTTGTGCAAACATCCCCAACCACATCTATTGACTTCTCTGTGGATCTTTCTCTGCTGCCTTCTAGTGCAACCTCAGATGAGAAGTCACTGGAGTTATCTGTCCCTAAAAATGAAGGATGGGCAACATTTGATATGCCTCAGTGCACATCATCTACTGCACAAGTGGAAATTCCAGCTGCAGTACCTTCAAGTGCTGAATCTCTGCAGGAAAGATTTGTTCCTTTTTCAACCTTAAATGCAAGCATGCAATGGCCATCTTTTGAAAGTTCTAGTGTCGGTGTACCTTCTTCAGTTTCATCTAATTTATGGCATGATGGTGTGTGGAATGGAGAAGATCAAGTTTCTGTTATGGCAACAAACACTCAAGTAAGTACACAAAATTTGTTTCCTGGCTTGTTTTGCATTCTTGTGCTATACTCCATAAGTAATTAAAGGTGTCCTGTGCTGTTGTTCTACTTCAAAAGTTAAGACATTAAGGAATAAATTGAAACTTAAATAAGGTTGTGTATGTTGTGACTGAACAGCCATGGAATGCATTTGAAGATTCTGGTGCCCATCTTCCTGTGGATGCCCTTGGTCAAGGGTTACAGTTGAACAATTTTCCATCAGCTTCTGAGGTTGGTGTATGTATGCTGTATTACCATGACAGTCTGTATTATTTTGAAAGATTCACAATCTCTTATTCATTTTGTTTCTCTCTCTCTCTAAAAAATTTAAAACCAGGGATCCAATAAAGTTGGAGTGCAAGGCATGGCCCCTATTAGTGGATTTGATAGTCACGACATCGCATCACATATCAGTGGCTCACTGTATCCTCCACCCATGCTTACTCAAATGGTTTGTGCCCTTAGGTTTATTGAGATTTTCTTATCTTTCAAATAGTAGTTTTGTTTCTGTTTTTTATTTTTATTTTTTGGTTATTAAATTTTATTTTTTTGCTTCAGGGAGATAATCAACCCAATGGAATCAATTATAAATCAACAAATCCATTTGATTATCCATATGATTCTGATGTAGATCGCAATGATATGGTATGTCACAGACTCTGAATAGACGTTCATCTATTAATTAGTTTTACTAGTTATATGTATAGTTTTGTTTATGATTATTGTTTCATAAAACTAGTTCGCAATGATACTCATTTCTGCTAGATTTGCTCTCTTATAATGGTGATAATTCCTCTGTTCACACTCTTGGGGATTCCTAGTGTGTATTTTTAGCATTTCTATTCTGTATTGTAACTTAGAGCCTTTCTAGTCAGTTCATTTTAATGTTCTGATTGACTATTAAAAAATTTTGAGGCTCCAGCACACAGCTCCATTCAATAGCACTGTTGCTGCCTACTAAAAAGATACTAATTTGACAATATAAATCATGGATATAGGAGACACTGATGGTTGCTTGATCTTCAGTTTCCTATTATGTCTCACATGCCTAGTCTTTCAATTGCAGTTCCTTGATATGAGCTCTTTGCAAGCTGCTCTGCCAGATGCCCTATTGCCAGCCACCTTCCATAGTGGTATAGCTGAACCCTGGGTCCCTCAAAATACGGTGTCCCCCTATATTTCCTCTGCAGGAGAAGGTAGTCCTTGAAGACTCCTACTGAAAGTTCAAACATCATTAATTTAAAACATTTTAATCTACAATTATTGTCCGACTCTTATTTCCTTGCTGTTTGAATCATCTCGTATGTGCTCAGTCTCACACTATATTTGTGTCAGTGTGATTTTCTTACCGTAATCTCATTCTTATTTTGATTGAATTATGCAGGTGGTTTGTCATTCATGGCTGTGCAATCACCAAGTTCTCAAATACAGTAAGTTGCAATCACGTCCTTTTTTTGTTCTCTTATTTCCTCTCTCTCTCTCTGTGTTTTTTTTTTTGGTGGGATGTGTTTGTGTGATTCATTGAAATATATTTACATGTTTTTCCTTGTGGATCCCGTTCTCTCTACCAACTTTGGAAATTTTTGGCATTTGTAACGCGGTTGTGTCTGTGACCGTTCGATGATTATCATTTGGCATTTCTAAATATTATTTTGCATGCACAATTAATTCATTGAAATATAAGTATTTAATAGTTACATTCAGTTACTCACAGGGGAGGGAGGCAACTAAATAGTATAGGAAGAGAATGACCTTGATTTAGGTTTACTACAGTTTTTGCTATGGTCCACCCATTTTATATCCTTGACTATAAAACATTCCTTACTAATCGGAAATGAAAGGAAAGTTGGCTGCGCAGAGCAACCAACATCTTTGTCCAAGATTATTTTAATCTTAAGTTTTATCTTTAATAGATTTGATGTGCATGTGTGATGAGCAATTTCTGACAATGAGGTCTACTCTCACTTTTTATTTTATTTTTCCCTAATGATGGTGAATGAACATCTTTATCTGGCAACAACTTTGTCCATGATTATTTATAATTATAAAGTTTCATCTTTAGTAGATCTGATGTGCATGTGTGGTATAAGGTTTGATAGAGCAATTTCTGACAATGTGGTCTATTCTCTCTCTCTCTCTCTCAATTTTTTCTTTTTGTAAAAGTTTGTGAAAGAGAATGTGATCTATTATATGTTTGGGGAGCGTGTTCAATTGTTCGTTGACTCTTTGAGTTGCATATTTACAGGAACATCCAGACACAGGAACCAGTTGCTTCGTTTGGTGGAAATCCTTTTGCATAGGATTATGATGTAGAATGTAGTGTTGCTTTGATATAGAAATTTATGTGTAGCCAGTGTAGTTATTCATGGAAGTAATTTTAGTGCTTTGTTACGACAAAATGTAGTTCATTATTTCCACTCGAGGAAGGCTTTGCAATTCACAGTTCCTGCAATATTCAGGCCATGCATTTGTTATACTGTAATTGAATTACATTATGATTAGAATTCTTGATGCAGGTATTGAACTTCATCAATTTGGGTTTATTAGATTGAGACTATTGAGGGTATTCCACTTTGTTCATGATTGTAATTTTACGAGAGCATTTGTTGTTCATGCCTATTGAATAATGTATAATTCTGACTATATTATTATTATTCTTTTTAAGTGCTGGATTTGTTGATCAACTTCAGGTTGATTTAGGGACATTTGAAAATAAAACAGCGCTGTTAGCGTTGTTTACTAATTTTAGTGTTACATCTTAATTTCTTATTATTATGTGTATAGTGTGGCAGCTCTCTTACTTTAGACTTAGGATTTTTTTTTTTTTTTTCTTTTTTTTCCTTTATCTGACTGTTCTTGAATACTCTTGCAACTGCTCCTTGCGCCCACTTATATTGAAATTGGGATGTTGGCAGCAACTATCAATTTTTTATTTTATGCAATTTTGTACTAAATAACATATTATGGAATGTTATTATGTAGCTCGTCGTTGACGGCAATTTTTTTTTAATCAGAAAAAAAAAACAAAAAAAAAACTAAGGCAAAAAAATAAAAACACTAACACTTTCCTTTCCGTAGGGGAGAAATGTCTGTCATGTCTGCATGAAGAAGAAGCTTCAACGAACTAGAAGGCTCATTGTAGATAGTATCATCTGATATGTCAGAATTATTTAGAGGAAGATTAGTTAAAAAGTCAGCGTAGATGTTGACTTCTCTAAAAGCATGTGCTATCGAAACCTGTTAGTAATGATTAAAATGTATTCATATCTAGTCACCAAACGAGATTCATGAGCTGCATCACCATTTTTGGTAAGCTAAGTGACCACCGAAGTGGAATCACTCTCAAGAATTAGATGACGCCAACTTTTGTCAAGCAAAAATTAAGATCATTCCAAACCCTCCGTAATTTTGCAATAAGCGCATTACAGATGCCAATGCAAGGCGAAAACCCCACAAGTCAAGCTCCATAACAATTACGGAATAAACCATCACAAGTAGCTACACTAGGAGCTTCTCTTGCAGCACCATCCGTATTAAGCATAATAAAACCAAATGTTAGAGATTCTCATCGAACTAAAAAATCCACCAAATAAGAAACATCAGAAGTAAAAATATGCATCATGTCCACGAATTGTCGCTGCATAAAAGAGAAGTTGGAACTAAATTTATTTTCCCTTTTGGCCTTTTTAATCATTTTATCAAGGTTATGTAACTGTAAAAAAATAAAAGGAACGCAAAAAAATGGGAAAAGATGGGTCAAGGAGCATTACTCCTTCTGGCAACGTTATGTACCTGTAGTCACACAATTGTTCACCTTTTTTCCTTTGTCATGAATTTTCTTGCACCCACTTAATACATGCCTGGAGATGTGCTTTTACTCGTTTCTTTTGTACCAAATAATAATACGATTTCTCAAGGTTTGCTATCGTGTAATGATAGCATTTCTGCAGGTGAGAGCACATTGGTGCTTTGAATAGCTACCTAAAGGTTTAGAATCTATTTACAAAAAAAAAAAAAAAAAAAAAGGTTTAGAATCTTGGGTAATTTGTAAATTGTAATAATAAAGTCAAACTTTGATATTTTCTCATATGTTTCTTAAAAACTTTAACCTTGGATATTGTTTATTGCCTTATCCATTGTCAGATAATGCCTAAATAATATACTTTTAAAACTTTTAATTGAAAGTTTAAGAGAAACGACAAGAAGATAAGGTTGACAATGATTCAAAAAAGGTAATACAAGTGATTGTGGTTCGGTCACGATCGAAGGCTCCCCCCTTCTCTCTCTCTCTCTCAAAACCTATCTTATTTTTCAAAATATTTATTTTTGGTTCTTCATAATTTTGCATGGATAATTTAAATTTTGGTGTAATTTAGTCTCCCTACATATCCCGTTATATATTGTTTTCCTCCTAGTAGCTTACAAACTCAAATTTTGGTTACTATTCAAAATTTGGAATTTTGACAACTCTTAAAGAAAATGCATGTAACTCAAGTGTGTATACCTTTTATAGTCCTCAATTCTATTCCTAGGGAAACATGAAGCTTTTGAGATCTATTGGGATTCCCATTAAAACTGTGAAAGCTGTTGTAAAATAAAAGATAGCTACAAAAATATTAAAGATAAAGTAAGTAACTTTAAAAGTAATAACTAGAATAAAACATAGATAAGAGAGAAAAGTATAGGAATATATTCTTGAATTGTAATGTTATTTTTCAATCCTTCTAATTGCATATTATCAACTCATAGTAGTTATAAAAGTTACACATTATTTCTTTGAGGTAATGGATATCCGTATAATTATATTATTTATAACACTCCTTTTTGAACATCAATTAAAATAATGTACCTCGTTAAAATCTTACTAGAAAAAAACTCGGTGGGAAAAAAATCCCAGTGAATGAAAAATATATACATTTAATGTAACTGTATTGCAAGCTATCTCGTTAAAAATCTTGCCAGGAAAATTCAATGGAACAAAATCTTGGTGAAGGAATTACTCCCCCTGATGATAACATCAGCTAATATCTTTGAGTTTGCAAATTTTAATCTTATTTATTAGCTTCTCAAAATTTGAAGTATGCAATGTCTTTGTAGATAAATCTCTCAAATTATCTCTTGAATAATTTTGTTGAATGCCATGAAATAGTTGTGCTTCCACTTGTAGGCAAAATCTCATTTGGGGTCTAACTTTGTTTGAATCAGATAAATATCCTGCATGATAAGAATTATATCTTACTAATACACTTACAAATAAGAAAGGGAAAATATAAGGATAAGAGCAAAAAGATGTGAGGTTATGAAGTCAAACACCCATTTTATTAATTTCAAAACTCCACCTTGGATGTTCATCCTTTGTTATACACTAATAAAATTGCCTCATTAAAAACCTTCCAAAAAAAAAAAAACCCAGTGGGACAAAAATTTGGTGAAGGAAAAAAGAGCGCAATGCATATCACACTCTCTCTCTTAATATTGATTGTAGTTATCATATTATAAAAATTAATTATGAGCTAATTAATATTGCCCCCTCAACTGAGCCATATAACAATTATTGAATCTAATTAATCTTTTCATCACGCCATACATTAGTGCCCTAATTGAATTGTGATATAGCACTTCAAGACTAAGAAATTTTTCCTTATTTTTTATGAGGTTGAAATGGATATTTTATTTATATCAAGCGATCTCACAATCATTGGGGTACTCAATGGATGTGCTTTATCTATGTAAAATTTCCTTAAAATCTTCTCTATATAAGTCAATTGATAGATAAATATTCTATTAAAGTAATTATACCACATTCACATTTATTTCTTTAATTCATTTAATGATATTTGAAGCTTTTTTCAACAATTTTTCTAGGAAAATTTTATATGCTTCAAGCATTTTGAATCCTTGTGGGATTTTCATATAAATTTCACTATCAATTGAATGAGCCATATAAATAGGCTAAAATGACATTCATTAGATGCATGTCAATTTTTTCATGTACTGCCAGACTAAGAAGATATTTGAAGGTGATTATATCTACCACAAGAGAATATATTTAATATAATAAATGCCAGACTTTTACAAAATTCATTGTGCAACAAGTCGTGTTTTATATCTTACTAAAAACAAAATTCATTATATTTTTACACATTTGTACCCCATTGGCTTTACACCTTCATGTGTTTGGACTATAGGTCCAAAAAATTTGCATTTGAATTACGTATTTATATTTTGGCCAATTATTTTTCTGTCTATATTCATCAACAAATTTAGCTTCAAGATCATCGTCTTGTTTATTATTTCATTATTTGAAAAAATATTGTCGAAAACTATATCTTTACTGTGCCAACATTTTTCTGTAATGACATAACTAATAGAGATCTCTTCATTTTATTTATTTTCAAGTACCTAAACCTCCCTCGAGGTTTAATGAAAGTTATGTCTTCACAATCAACAATTGTCTCCATATTATGACCATCTTGATCATTTGCTCCTTTCCTCTTTTTGAAGATTTTCATCCTTGGAACCGATCATTTTTCCATGTTTTAAGTGTAGTTTAGTTTTATTTGCACTCATAATTGCTGGAACATTAATTTCAATTGGAGAATTTACATTTGGAATATTAGACTTGTTGGTCAATCAAACCATCTGACATCGTATAATATTTTTTCTCATAATTGCTTTATGTGAGGATCTATATGAGATAATGATAATGCATTCTAATTAATAAATTTTTCCAATTGTTTATTCTCTCCTCCTCGTGTTTGAAAGACTGATAACAATAAGCAAATATTAATTTAGCGAAATCTCCAATCATTATTTCAAAATATTATATGAGATTCATGTCCCACATATATTTTCAACTTTCATTGGGGACTCATCATTGTACATTGTGGTGGAGTAATTGGAACATAAATCAACATCCAAAAATTATAAGATTAGAAATATTTGGCTCTTGGCCATAAGCCAATTGTAACGGAGAGAATTTATGATAACTTGTTGGCTTGGTGTGTATAATTGATGTTGCATAAAATATAGCATATTCCCATGCCAGAACAGGGAGCTTTGTTCTCAAAAGAAATGGTCTATCTATTAATTGGAGTTCTACTAAACTATTTCGAGTATGATAATGAGCAAAAGACTGTTCGATTGTGATTCCAATTGACATACACTATTATTAAAAGTTTGAGATATTATCTCACTAACATTATCAAGATGGATTGTATTTATCATATAATCTAGGATTTGTGTTCTTAGTCTTATCATTTGAGCAAACAATCTCACAAATGTCAAGTTGTGAGTTGGTAATAAACATACATCTGACCATTTTGTAGATATATCTACTAAATTCATATAATATCTAAAAGGTCCACATGATGGGTGAATGAGCTCATATATTTCATCCTATATGCATTTTTAGTTGATGATAATTTCCATTGAGAACAAGCAGCACAAGAAAATGCAATAAATTGAAGAATCTTTTGGATCTTCAATGCATGATAATATGAATTTTAATAATTTTCGCATCATATTTGATTTAGAATGGTTCAACCGGTCATGCCAAATAATAAAGCTATGATAATCAATATCCTTTTGATTTACCAAAGCATGTTTTTCAACAATGCGAATATTAGTGTAGTACAAATCGAAAGAAAAGCAGGTAATTTCTACATTTGAAGTCTCAACATGATATTATTTATAGCCAATTTGATCTCCTTTGGTAATCACAGACTAGCTCTTTTAGTGCTTCAATCAATTTTGTACTACCAAAC